GTTAATAAGAATAACCACCATAAATTAAAACAAATCAGCATGAATAATCTGAATGTGTTGACTACATGCAGGTGTTACATCCCACCAGAATACATGTTAAATATTTATAAATTCAATTCCTATTAATTAGCACCTTGTATCCAGAAGACATAAGATCCCAGTATTACTTGTACAATATATTATGTTTACTCTTTTGTATAAAATAAACAGATTGTACTTCATATAGAATCTCAAGAATTCAGAGAGATTAAAAAGCAAGAAGAAAATAAAGACTCTAAACATTATTTATAATCTTAAATGTCAAAAGGTACTAAATATGGATAGAAATTTTTAGTATATGGCCATATTCCACTGCTTTTATAACATTTCAGAATAAACTCCTCTAGCTCATGCAGAATATTTATTCCAAGAAGTGTGCTTCATATATGTTCAACTGTCATCAATGTACTGCAAAAAAACAAAATCACAGGTATTGGCCTAGAATACTGAGCCTACAGTTCCCAAATTTGGATAACCTTGAATATACTTTAAACTATCAAAATAGCATTTTCTTCAATTTTGGAAGCTGGAATTGGCCAGACAAAATAAACGGTTGTAAAAATGGTTTCAGTGCTTTGTGTATGTAACTTACTGCCCTTTGATAGAACTGCTAATTTTGAACGCATTGTAAGATTACTAAGATTTTCAAAGTTATGCAGATAAGAGCAAATGCCTGCTACTGATATATTAAAATTTTTCTGACTAAAATATTGCTAGCATATATCATTTTAATAGTGCAGAATTCATAAGAGAGTAAATGTGGGAAGGAAAAATGCATAGTGGATTAGATAACTGAGTTTTCTCATTCATGCTGTTACAATGCTGCTCAAATCAAGGTTAATCAATATGCAGACCCCACATATTTTTTTTCTTGAAATGTTTATTCCAAAATCCACCCCATTGAAACAAAGTCTCCCTTCAGAGGCTGGTATCTTTTCTTCCCCCTTTCATTTGTGCCTCAGATCTGTGGTAATATGTTTGAGGAAAGAATCTCTAAAACTGTTATTGGCAAATGATTAGAAAATGAAAAATCCCAACTAGGTTCCCCTCCCCTTTAACCCCAAATATTCCCCAACCCTAAACATGTCAACCGCGAGAGCGCAAGACTTGGTTTCTTTTACCCTTAATGCTTACATTTAATTTTGAAGCACAACATTGGAGATTGACTCTAAGTTAGCAACAAAAAATATATATTTACAATTTCTTCAAACAAACAAACCAAAGAAAAGAAAAACACAAAATAACAACCAAACCCTTTTAGACAATAGTGACTTTCTTAGGGAGTTTTATTTAGGGAGCATGTTTTGTCTTCTTTTGTTTCTTTTTTAAATCACCAAGTGATTTTATATATAATTTTTCTTTCCTTTGTGTCACCACTTGCCCTCTGAAGTGATGATCAGTTTAGGCAATGAAGTTTCACAATTACTTTAAGTCTTTTAAGCCACAGTCATTTGAGGGACATTTCTGAGAAGGTTGTAGGATAATAAAGCCTAAACTCACAATACCCTCCCCAATCAGTCTGCTGATGCTTTTTCATCCCTCTTGCCGCAGGACGAGATTCCTCCCAGACCAATGCTCCTGTCATGCCAACTTGCTGCAGTTCAGCACTTCTCAGGCTGATCAATGCACATGGAGAGTTATGAAGGTGCTCCCACTTTTGAGAAAACAAAAACACAAAATACCCAGAGTGTAGAAAACTCAATGTGGGAGTTATCTGGGCAGATGCACTTGAATCTCCTATTTATGGCTATTCTCACCTTCCTCTTGGAAACAAACAAACAAAAAAAGCACAAAAAGATTGGTTCTACAATTTTTTTCCACAGGAGCCAATACAACAAGGCAGAAAGTTTCCACTTCTAGGAGATCAGTGGGCATTTTTGCAGAAAAATTCAATTTGCAGCAAAGCTCCTGTATATTGAGGCACTCTGGAACTCATCACACTAGCATTGTCCTCTTGGCAAAGAAGCCTGCTCCTCATATGGAAGTGAGGGGGGGGGGACCATTGGATTTCAGTAGATCTAAATGTATTTCCTTCACCCCATCCCCAATAGTGCAGGGGAAGTCAAGTCTTCCCCGAGGCTCAGTTGCCACAGCATTCAATGCAATTAGGCTGGGCGATTTGGAGAGTTATGGGTGGATTCCTCCCCCTCCCTTATTGCTTCAGAAGCAGCAGCAAGGGTGCATTGGGTCTTCCTCCAATTCTGCAACCACTCTCCTCCTTTCCCTTGCTGCACAGACACTGGAGAGCTGCTTTTTTGCCATTTGAAGATCAGAAGGGGAGGCAAGGGGGAAGGGCAGTCCAATTTGTGCTATCACTATGGGGAAGAGAGCAGAGTGCAAAGTGTGCATTCAAACCCTGACAAACTCAGACAGCTGGAAGGAGTGTCCAGTCACTCAAGCAGGGGAAAATAAAATAGGGATCCAAAATATTACCTTTCTTTCTAAAGTGCAAAAAGCTCTCTGCTGCCCAAGAGAGAAGTTCTTTGGACCGGCCATTCATTGCAAAGGAAGAGAGGCAGCTAATGGAGCATTAACCCGTCTCCCAGCTCAAGAGCCAACAGCTATGCAACCCCAGGATGTAGGCATTTGTTCTAGCCAGCATCTCTAAGGATGCTAATTTCAGCAGACATATGGAACAATGGAGACCATTTCTGCTGGTGTTAGAAATCCCAAAAGATGCCCCTGAAGCCTTCAATCTATACTGCAGCTTTTTCTCTACACAAATACTGCCATCTTTTCATAGCAGGAAAGGTAGAACATGCTTGTCTGACACCCTCTCCCTTTTCTGGGATAATCTAGGATAAGAACATGGCTCCCTTATTCTGAAAGTTCTGCCATCCCCTCACTAGCCTTACGTTGGACGATGCTTGCAAGCTGAACCGAGGGCACATGGAGAGACCCTCACCACAAAGCAGGCATCACTACTGCCGACACTGGAGCTCTGAGTAATCGGCACAAAGCAGTAGCTGCCCATTCAGCTGCTGGTGAGTGAAAAAAGGAAGCTTAACAGAACATAGTGGGCAAGAGCAGTTACTCTCAAGTCTTAGTAAATCTGAAGACTTAGTAACAAATTGCATACCAAGACAGTAAAGAAACAGGGAGCAGAAATGCACCTGTTTTATACCATCCAGGTCACGTTTCCCATAATCTGATGAGGAAGTATAATCTGTTTTCACAGGATTTATGAGAAGGGAAAAAGGTGGAGAGAAAAGGTCATGTTCCCCCTGAAAAAGCGACTACAAAAAGTTAAGAGCATGTAGCTGATGAGCAAGTACCCCAACAAGAGCAATTGTCCATCTCTTCTTGCTGCCACTTACTCAACTGCCTGGTGGGATTTTCTGGTTTACAGAAGTCCCAAGTAGAGGAGGGTCATTACAATCACAATCAGGATGGCATCTCTCCTGACTGTAGAGATGGGGTAAATTGAGGGAGGATCTGCTCTCCAAGAGGGGCTGTCTGGGATCTTTCCTTCTTCTCTTCAGTCTTTCTGTGGCAAATTTCTAGCTGATTTTTTGGATCAGCTTTTCATCTGACAGGCAATAGAGGCTGTTGATTGACAGGTCTGAAATGAAGTGCTCGCAGGCTTTGCGGGTGATTTGTTTGCAGCCACGCAGATCTATCAGAGTGACATTAGAGATGCGTCGCAGGTACAGCAGGGACTGGTCTGTGAGCTTATTGCAACCTATGGAAAGTAAGGCAATATGATACACATAACATTAATTTCTTTATTAGCTTTTATCCTGCCTTTATTACTTTATAAGTAACTTAAGGTACAAACACATATAATACTCCTTTTACACCATCTATTTTCTCCAGAACAACCCGGTGAGGTGAGTTAAGAGAGTGGCTCAAAGTCACCCAGCTGGCTTTCATGCCTATTTTGGGACTAGAATTCACAGTCTCCTGGTTTCTAGGTCAGCACCTTCACCACAACACCAAGCTGGCTCTCATACTCACTTCTTCAATGTGTAAAAATATTACAGAGAAGAAGAGATATAAATGCCCAAGAATACTGAAGCACACATTTAATGGCTAATTCTCCATTAGTGGTTCTTAATCTTTTATACAGTCTGATCTCCTGATCAGTTAAGCATGTAACAGAACAGTTCTTCAAACTGACACAATTAGCAATTAGACAAGCTGTTATGGAATAAGACAAGTACTATTGAACTCTGATCATTTTGTGAAGCATTATTTTCCTTCTGGGGTATATGTCAATTTTTATTGAATGTGGATGTGCAACAATCAATAAAATGTTTGTACTATATATATAGGATTTAATTTTAACATGCTACTTCAAATGCATTTCTTAAAAAATATTTATATTGGAATACTATCCGAGTGCAGGGTAATTTTTGTTACATCTGGTGAGAGATTTGTTCTATCCACATTTAATAAAGACTGGAGGAAAAGCCTATGAAATATGGAAGATAAGCATCTCAAACTTTCATGGGACTTTGGGTTCTGAAAGATACCATATCTTGTGACTTGGGAGTAAAAGGGGTCACTATCTACTTAAAACTGCCCTCTTCTGCAACCACAGGGCAATAAGCCAGAGGTCATGCAGGTCAGTGATTCTTGCCAGGGTAGAATGCAGAGATGTATTTTTTTTTCTAAAAATGCAAGTGCACATACCTGCCATATTAATTTCAGTGAGTGAGTTTCGTGTGGAAGATCCCACAGCTGTTAACAGGTTGGCTGACTGGTCTGTAAGGTGATTGCAGTGACTAAGATCAAGTCGTGAGAGCGCAGGCATGTGGCGAATGATGAGCCGGAGTGTGGCATCAGTAATATCCAGCCCGGCCAATCGGAAGTCTATCATGTTACGGAGTTTGCTGCGATTGTCTTGACCTATTGTACGATACACAATAACATTGAAAGGGCACAAAAAACAACTATTGTATATTTCAGACCCAAACTTTCCCTTTTAATTCTCCTACTCATTATCAATCTGTCTGCCACCCACAAGCTCTCCAGAAATTCTTGCTTTATGCAAATGGGAAACAAACATACTGGGTTTATCTGATGGAGGTGTCAGCAAGTCCCGAATCTGAGGATCCTTGATTCCTACTGCCCACCGAAGATCGAGGGTCCTGAGAAGGGGGCAGGTAGAGGTACTGAGAGCAGATACTGCTGACCAGGAGCAGCCTGCCAAGATGAGGTCTTTGAGGCCTGTTGAACGACAGATAGATGTGAAAAAATTTTCAATAATTTTCTCTATATATTTTCTAGCTACTGGACTTCTACTTTGAACTTTCATTCCAGATTATAATGGTGAGGCAATAGTTGACGATTGCTGAGGTCCACAGTATAAGAACAATATCCATATTATGAGAACAATGCTTCTTTGATAACCTATAACCGATAACCTATTAACATCTGTCTCATAGCTTGTTAAAGAGTTAGGCCAAATAACAAATATAATCTATGGTTATATTTGGGAAAGCAAAGGAATGCCATATTATGATATTCAGAATACTAAACTGTATTCACAAACAACTTTAGTGATCAACTATCACAGGAGATTAATCTGTTCAATTTAATGTGAGGCTATGACAGAAAGATGCATCCAACCTGAAAAAGGTATATACCTGGTAATCTGTTGATGAGCCAGGTAAGCTGTTTTCTAGAAATATTGGTCCAGCTGAGGTCAAGGCTGACTGGTTGCCTCCTGATTATACCACCAAGAGCCATGGGTGTGATGGACTTATACCTGCTTAAGTCAATCTTCGTCCACAATCTCCTATCACCGCACCTATCAAATATATAGATTTAGATAGAGAACATACTTTCCTACATCACTTATATATACTTAAACAGTTCCTGACAAGTCTCTCACAGCTATCTTTTGGGGCAAGACTAAGGTTATTATAGTGTAGTGCATCAGTATATACTCTGAAACAAAGTCTAGATAGGAAAGATATAGCTTGAGATATCATATGGATATAAGTAGCTTATTTTTTCTGTCTTGGCCATAGTTACCTTCCAATTCTTCACCACATATATCTTTATGCTTTTTTTATATGAAAGTTAACATTTTCTATTTACAAAGGTAAGTTTGGACATGGCTTTTTACAGTACTTACATCACTGCTGTACAATAATCTTTCAAACAGTGCATTTGGATCTATGAAGCTTTGCAGTGATTACAACATTTTTTCTGGATAAACATGGACACATTTACTCCCTCCTAATTCCTATAGATAGATATTCACTACAAATGAAAATATCTCATTCAAAGCACAGAGAACGAGAAAAAATCCAAATGATGGTTCATGCTTGCTATTTGACTTCAACCTAAATATATAAACCAGTTCCTATGGCAGGCTGAGGTAGGATTTTTTTTCCATAACAGAGAGACTGAAGAGGCAGGTCTGAAACTTATGCAGAGACCAAAGAATTGCGTAACAATACACACAGATTGAATATTTCAGTTGCAGAGATTTGTAATATGAACTCAAACATATTCTCAGTGAATATCTACATATTCCAATATTAAGTGCTGTACAATGAAAAGCTCAGTTAGCCTTTTGCACTGAAAGAAGATATGAACAATCAAAGCAAAGTGCTTTATATATAACTTACTGATAGATCTTTACTTTGATATATAAATGCTTGAATGTAAAACTCAGAATACAGGGAGTTTAAAATGTGCCAGATGGCATATTCTCTTTAGAATATTGTAACATACTTACATGCCCAGATTGTGGTGTGTAAAATATTACACCACATAAGTCCAGAATATATCCTTCCAATGAACAATTCCATTTTTAGCTATTACTAGCAAAACACTTGCTTATAATCTGTACATTTATTCTTTCCCCCAAATTGTCACTTGAGCATGAAGCCAATATCTATACGCTAGACACTGTGTATAGACAAATATTGTTGCATAAATATATTTATTTTTTTTGTATCTCCATTTCTGCTTATTCATAAATCTATCATTGAGGCCCAGCAAATACAACCTGATCTAATTTTTTTGGGCGGTATGTAAGGGTTGTGTAAGACACTGTGAAAAATAAAGGCATTACAGAAATGAGCTGTAAAAACTGCTCTGGCGGTAATTTCTATACACTTACCATTTGTACCAGGTTTTGCATACACGCATACATTCACAAAGCTCCTTGCGAGTAAGGTATCGGAAGACAGACATCCATACTTCCTTTTGCATCCAGATTTCCTCACCATCTGATGCCCTGCCCCCCTGTCCATTTAGCCTGGTTGCCCCATTTTCCTCAGCATTGTCATCTTCTTCATCTGCGCTTTCATCTTCCTCTTCCTCCTCTACTACTTCTTCATCTCCACCCCGCTGGGGTGTCCTGGCTGAACTTTGGCGCATGACCACACGGGGGGAGTGTCTCAGATTAGTGGAGGCAGTGATTGCCTGTAATTTGGGTACAATGGAAGTGCCATGCACGTCTTTGGTAGGTCTTTGCAATGTGACTGTGAGATATGAACCATGAAGCTTGGCTTTTTCTACCTCTGAAAGCTCTTTTTTGCCACTAGGGTTGTTTTCCTTTTCCCGCACAACTGTGCGTTCTGTGCCCTGTAGTCGAAGCAGCTGTCGTCTCTTAAAGCGTTCATCCCGACTGGCACCATGATGGTCACTAGGACCTGCCCCTGGAGAGGACCGCGTCACTATGCTTCGAGGTGATACAGGATCATGGATCAGCTGCAGCATTGGGGTAGGGGAGTGGGGTGGTGGAGTCAGAGGTTCTTCACAGCTACGCAAGGGACGCAGGACTTTGGCTTGAACTGTGTCATCATCACCATCATCCATTTTCCGTTTCTAAAAAGTGAACAATATTAAGTTACCATTTAAATATCAAATAGCAGGAGTTTTGGCCTTGGAATGAATACCCTAGATCAGGTATAAATGTGATACTCGAAATCCCTCTCTTTTTCTTTCTATGGTTGCCAAGCAGACGCCTACATTTTTTCAACTAGAAAAATAAATGAGAATGGGAAATATACACTGAGTTACTACATTAAGAGGTCAATGGTTGGAGGTCCCAGTGTGACATTTAGTGTACTAACGTCTCAGCAGAGATTGAGAAGTTCTCTTTGCACTTTGATACTTTCAAATTAAAAAAAACAAACATAAAACATGTCTTTTCCCTTAGGGAAAGTGCAAGGATAGCAGCATCATGTGAGATATCGAGAGCAAAAGGAGAAAAGACATGCTGTGTCATCACTCTTCACTTCCTGTGTGGCACAGAAAGGAAGCAGAGATAAAATTATGTGGATGGAACACGAAGAAAAGGAAGCACAAAGGAAAAAGGGCACACTACAGCACTTAAGGGGCTGGTACTGCTTCAGTGGAAAGAGTTGCCAGTTTCTTAGCAGGAACAAACTGCTAATTTACCAATTATGCAAATATAGCTGGTATAGGTTTTTTTTAGATTTTTCAGAATGCTTGATTGTAAGTACAGAAGTGTCTGTATTTTTTGTTGAGAACATTATTTTTATCCCCTTTTCCTTAGCAGACTTTGTACTTTCTTTCATTTTGTTTCCTTAATTTTTTCCCATTGTTTCTCCTTATCTCCACAGCTTTCTACTGCAGTACTTTTTAATTTCCCTCCTCATAACTCCCCCCACACCCCGGCCTTTTTGTCTGGGTTTTTCCTCCCTTCCCTTCCTGCTATTCCCAGACAAGACGTTAGAGTGCAAAGCACAAAATTGTTTCCTTTCCTCTCCTTTTATAACTGGTGTTCATGAAAGTGATTCAAGTTGCTCCTTTACTGCTTTGACCTCTGACATATGTGTTTAATGCATTATTAAAATTGCTCTTCTTCACAAAGTGTGTCTTTCTAGCTTATGTAATTTTCTTTTGTGAAATAAAATGGAAACAAATTGGACTTCCAACCTGGACTATTGATTAGGCATCAGGATCTATAGATGTAATGCAAATTATGTTATTTCTGTTTCATATTAAATTTTGACATTTAGTTCTATGGTAGAATTACACCTTATTCAGGGAGAAGCTCAGAGAAACACATTGAGATCTATATTATTGCAGTCATCATTTATTTAAAACACTTCTATAGCTGCCATCTTTCAGCCAACTCTGGGTGGCTCCTGATCAAAAATTAAGAGACATATAAAACCATTTTAAAAATAAAAAAAATAACCGGTCAATACATAAAACATCACAAGAAAAATCTGGCGCCAATCCCCGTTAATGTGCCATTATCTAAACCTCTCCCTACACGGGGGAAAAGCTAGGTCTTTAAAGCCTTACAGAAGGCTAAAAAGATGGAAGCTTCTCAAACTTCAGGGGACAAGATGTCTATAGAGTAAGGGCTGCCATGGGAAAGATATGCTTCTTAACTCCCATTAAATACTATTTAGGGGAGCTTCCTGACCTATCCGACCTAGTCGGTAAATATCCTTAGGGAAAAGGGATCTCCACAGGTAACTTGGCTTTATGCCATATGGGACTTAAAAGATGATGACCAGTATCTTTATTTTCACTTGCAAATAAACTGGAAGTCAGTGCAGCTTGCACAATAGAAGTGTTATGTTGGCAAACCTATGAACCAGTGGTGGGCTTCAAATTTTTTTAGAATCTCTTCTGTAGGTGTGGCCTGCTTTGTGGGAGTGGCTAGCTGGCCATGTGACCGGGTGGGAGTGGCTTGCTGGCCATGTGACCGGGTGGGAGTGGCTTGCCAGCCATGTGACTGGGTGGACATGGCCAAGTTGTAAAAAGTGGTGAAACTCACTTAACAACGTTCTTGCTTAGCAACCAAAATGTTGGCTCAGAAATTCTGGCATTTGAAGCACACAAATCTTAAAGCTGTCAAGTTACAAGACCCTTGCACCCCTAACCTTTTAGAAAAAAAAACTCCAGGGGTGTTCAAACGTGACAGCTTTAAGACTTGNCCAGCAATGCTTTGCAACGGAAGATGGCAGGAGAGAAAGGAGGCCGAGCGAACGAGCGGAGAAGAACAGAACGGGAAGCCGTTCTGCTGCAGAGTCGGGAGGAGGGGAGAGGAGGGGGGGGGGGCTAGACTAAGCGGTTGGCTGCTTGCTAATTGGTCGAAGCGGTCGCCTAAGCTGACGCCCTTCCCCCTCCCCCACCACTGCAATTGGAGAATCCAGGGCCAGCGGCCCCAAGGGCTGAGACTCTGGCAGACTTTAGAGAACAGAACAGGAAAGCTTGATTAACCCCTTCTCTGGGGTGGCTGCAGCTACGGCGCTTTTCTCTCCCCCCCCCCGCCCTTGCATCACTCTTTTTGGTCACAAGCAAATTCCTCTCAAGAAGGGGACCTTTGAACAGTAACAATGGCTTTTTCTTTCTATTTTTCTTTTGAACCGCCTAGATTAGAACATGGAAAAAAAGGTCTCGAGATCCGTGAAACGGCCGAGAGGTACAGCTAGTTTCTTAACGCCCGTCAGCTACCCATCCGCTTTATGTTCAAAATGTGAGTTTAAAAGACTGCACGGAAAGCTCGTTGTAAAAGTGAAACTTGTACCTGATGTTCGTCCCCCCTACCCCCCTTGCTCATGAATCAAACGTTTTCGAAATTCAGCACAAACTTGCGATACAGAATATGAGAGACAAGTTTGTGCTGTGTGTGTACTAGCCAAACAGGTATTGCTGGATGCTACCCTTGTATTACTGGTTCCCTGAACTAGGCGTTTAATATGTTTGCTGGTATATTCAGAAGGCTAAAGCGGATAAAAGTGATTTCACAAACATTAAAGATATGGATTTATAAAGCTGCTATATCACAAGCAATAGATCGTAAATGCCTATGTTGCAGGGACTAATGTTCAAAATATGCAACCGGCTATTGTAGTACAACAGATAGTTGGCGTATTTTACATACATTAATGTTTTAGTTTGCATGTATATGAACTATTAACAGATGACTGCATTCAAACTTACTAAAATTTTAAACAGCCTTAAGCAGAATTGTGGCCATATCCCCTAACTTGCTGAATACAAGAGAGCAACCTACAGATGCTGTAAAATAAAATGCCTGCAGACTGTAATTCAAAATTTCCCCCTTTCAAATGTACACAGTTGTTTACAGGTATATTGGAACAAGCCACAGCATTTTAATTAACACGTAAAACATTGGGGGAATAATGTTTTAACATTTTCATAGCTTTATTTTTTTTTTACTATGAATTGTTTGTGGGTTCCACCAGCAACATTACCTGGAATTATACAACTAAGCAGTATTTCTAACTGAGCGCTCACTTTATTTTTATCAGACTACACAATGTAATTGGACACTACCATTTCTATGGAAACTTCTGAATTTGTCACCATTTTTCAGTAGAGAGATCAAATGACATGCAGTACCCATAAAACAACAACTGAACAAATGGCAGCTGTTATCTCTAGGAGACATAATGGCTTGCGGTTCTATATACACATACACGTGCACCCTTGTAATAACCCTCCAATAAGGAAACATTTTTCAGTCTTGCCTTTCAAGTTGAATGATGTGGCTTTGCTGATCACTTGGATTAAATAAATCCTTCCCCCCTTTAAATAACCACAAGAGGGAAAAAATCCAGAGAGAAGGAGCAAAAATACACAAATCAAGTTATTGTGCTTTGATGCATATAATACCCTAATGTGATTTGACTTGGTTTGACTTGTATTATCTGAATCTAGATATTGGTTGGCAAATTATGATTTATGGTTTAGTATATAAGGCAAATCCAGACAATTCAGCAAACTTTTCATAAGCAAGCTATAGTCTTAATAGATGGTGAATCCAGTCTTAAGAGGTTATCAGAAGTTAATGGAGCACTGGATACTCTACTATGTTCTGCTTTCTTAAAAAATTAATTGGCTTTCAGGCAAATGACAAATTACTAATTTGTAGTAATATTTCACAGTTTTATGTCCATATGATATTTGTGCTTATGTGCTGGCTGGCTGGGAGCATATATTTAGTATTATTGAATCTAACAATGGCAACTTTTAGCATAAATAAAAGTATTATTTTTTTTACCAAGGATTCTGTTCCAACAAATCCTTCCAGAGATATACTCAAATTATTCAGGGACTATGAATGGCAAATACATGGAAGATACATAGTTGCCTTTCTATAGGAAGTATTTCATACTGATAAAATTTAGGAACTTCCTTGTGTCATTTCCATGAAACAATTTTGTAACAGTAAGTATCATATATGAAACACTATTGATACATGTTATAAAACTGGGCTGTCAAACTCCCAGCCCAGGGGCTGGATGCATCACGTGCTGCCCATGCCCGGTTTAAAGAAGGGGAAAAAAGTCCTAGTACGTCATGTGATGTTGCTGTGATGACGTGAGTTTGATATCCCTGTTATAAAATATTACCAAAATGTAAGTTGGTAACAACTGTGCCCATATTAGGGATGTGTAAAATTTTTTGAACCTTCTCTTGGGATGCAAATGAAATGGTATGCCTTGTTTCCCTAAAAACAAGACAAATCCCAAAGATAAGCCCTAGCGTGTTTTTTTATGCCTGTGCCTAATATAAGCCTTATCCTCAAAATAAGTCCTACTTAAGAACATGCGGAGCTGGCCACCTACATTCTGTCTGGTTGTTTGTGGTGCCATGGCCACGAGGTGAGGTGGTGCAGCTGCACCATGTGTCCCACACTAGTTTACCTCTGCCCCCACAACCAGACCATCCACGTCCCAACACCTGCCTCGTGGTGGCAGCACTAGCAGCCATATGAGGCAGGAGCCTATGTGGCTACTGGCCCACTTCTGCTTGCTTATGGCCGCAATGGAGCAGGAGGCCAAGCGGTGCAGTGGCTGCAAGGTGAGGCAGGTTTCAGGGCATGGCTGCGGGGGCCCTAAAGTAAGCTGGTGAGGTGCGTGTGCAGTAACTCCACCCGCCTCACCTTGTGACCACGGCACCAGTGTGTTGCTTGCCCTCTTGCTCCGTTGAGGCCGCGAGCAAGCAGAAGTGGGCCGGCAACCATGCAGGGTCCTGCTGAATGGGGCTGTTGGTGCCCTGACTGTGAGGCAAAGCAAGTGTCAGGGCATGGGTGACTTGGCTGTGGGGGCCCTGAGATAACCCAGTGCAAGCACGTGGGGCAGCTCCATCCCCACTGCCTCATGGTGGTAGTACAGATGTGCCATGCAGCCTCTTGCCCCTCTGCGAGCAAGCAGAAGTGGGTCTCCCGTACATGGAAGAAAAGATATCCCCAAAAAATAAGCCCTAGTGCTTATTTTAGGACCCAAATGAAAATAAGACGGTCTTATTTTTTGGGGAAACACGGATATTATTCCCAGACTGACAAATCTGCATTATTTCTAGTTAGTACTGCAGGGAAGGCAGAAACATTTTCAAAGACAAATTGAATAATGTCAGGAATTTTGATAAGTACAAAATAAAATAGCTATTTTGATTCCAGTGTTAAACAAGATTGCAGTAGTGCAGCACAGTTGGCTATATCATCCAGTCCTTATTAAATATTTCAATTGGTTATTACTGTTCCTTAACTTGACACAGCTATAGAAAAAGACAATATTTCCATCTTACCTTAACATCTGCAATAAGAGCATCCTCATCTTCTATGCCTGTGGGTACACACTTCTTGTGTAGAGGCAAAGATTCCAGCTTGTCTACAAGACAACGCATACCTTCAAGCTCAAACTGTGTTAGGTGTACCTTCTTGTCTTTAAGTGAACAATTGCTGTGAGAATCCCATGCTTGGCCATTTTGGGAACCTCGACTGGATTCAGAATCCATGGAGAGAGTTCTCTTAAGACTTGGCAAACTTCGACAGCCTCTACTTATTTCATCATAGTCTAGATTAGCACCATTAGCTACTGGGCTGGTAAGGATTGACCTTCTGGTGGTTGGACGACGTGATTCCTTTCCGCCCACAGCATCGTCTTCATCCACATTTCCTGACTCTGCATTGCACAGTTCCATATCTGCATACAAAGGAAGGAATAATCTTATCAGATTAAATGTTTTAGTTTTTTGGGAAAGCATTAAATAAATAAAGGTGAACCAGAGACGGGTTGCTGCTGGTTTGGCTGAACTGGTAGTAGCGGCGGCGGGAGGCTCCACTCACCTGCCCGGATGCTTCTGCGCATGCACGTGAGGGAGCGCACCCAAATCAGTAGTAAAAAAAATTAGCAACCCACCTCTGAGGTGAACATATAGCTAGGTTTAAGTCATACTATAATCTCTTAGATCACTTGGTGAATGGATATGTGACTCTTTTCTGGTAATGGCATTACCTTCAAGGGTTATCTGTTAAAATCAGAAGTGTGTGTGTGTGTATAATATAAAAATCAGAAAAATGAAAGCTAAAATAGCAGCTCTTACCCATGTTAAGTGATTCCTTCTGAAAGTCCTTGGTCAAATGGGAACGGTTAGTGATGCAATAGACATAGCGTTCTAGTACATACCAGCACATTTCATAATAAAAGGGATAACGAAATTTAATTGGGACCTGTAAAGGGGCAAGATACAAGAAAACAGCATTTTTTAGACAATTAGTTATGCAATTTTCTTAATAACCCCACTTTTTTCTCACTTAGCCCTATAGGGAAATCCAAATGCCCCAGTATGTAGAAAATTGCTGTCTTGTAGTACTCTCAATATTAATTCATTCATACTTTACAATTCAGTGTGGGGCCAGTGGCATTTTTTCCAGACTCTTAATTAAAATATAAACTTATTAAAATTAGCTTTCTTATTGAGGACTTCAAAAGAGCCTATATAATCTTTAAAAAAGATCTAGGTCATCTTAACTTCGGTCCCAAATAAACTAGAGAATGCTATGAAGGATAGCTCAATGTGCATAAAAGTTAAACATTAAAGAGTGATGAAGATTTCTGATCTGAAGAGCAACCAGCGTATCAGAGGGGGAAAAAATCCAGCATGACTTTTATAAAGGAAAGGCCTTGCTTCATTAGCTTTTTAGAATTTATGCAATTACTGAGTCTGTCTACATGGAGACATCCTTCCTACAAATAACATTGGTCTTTCATGTTCACAGAAGGCCTTCGATCCAACAGTTTTGATAGAAGGTGAACTATTTTTTGTTACTTGCCCTTGTTATAATTTCACACTCTTCTGAAAGGCTTCTCAAACATCAAGAACAAATGAGATGGAAAGGGATTGTAAAACCTATCCCCTTTTCTGTGTCAAAGAAGATCTTATGGATAAAACTGCCCTCACCAGTAAAATTATCTAAACTTGTTAACTTGGTTGCGTTTAGACATAAAAGTTTTCTACAGACTTCAGAAATGGTATGCTAGTTTATAGACTGGTAACTTATTGAATAGATAACAGAATCAACTAAAACCTAGATTACTTAGCACAATAAAGCCTAAGCAGAAGCATCAATTCGAAGGATAATACAGCAGTGAAAAATAAGGGAGATTAAAAAAAATCATGTGGGTATCAGAATTCAGTTAAACTGAAAGTAATTTCAGCTCTGTATTTCAGATCAGTACTAGACACTGGATAATAATCAACAAAAGCTGATTATGATAATGCTTCATTTCTGACCTTTCAGGACTAGCTGATATGATAGAAACTGATTTTGGGATTACATGACATCTTGATTTAATCCAGTTAAGTGGATCATCTGTGCCTGACCATTAAGGGCATTGTAATAAAAATTAGAAAAGTATTAAAAAAATATTAGAAAAGAATGTAACTACCTAATGTACAGGTGAAACTTGAAAAATTAGAATATTGTGCAAAAGTTCATTTATTTCAGTAATGCAACTTAAAAGGTGAAACTAATAAATGAGATAGACTCATTACATGCAAAGAAAGATAGTTCAAGCCGTGATTTGTCATAATTGGGATGATTATGGCGTACAGCTCATGAAAGCCCCAAATCCACGATCTCAGAAAATTAGAATATTACATGCAATCAATAAAACAAGGATTGTACATAGAACAATATCAGACCTCTGAAAAGTATAAGCATGCATATGTACTCAGTACTTGGTTTGGGCCCCTTTTGCAGCAATTACTGCCTCAATGCAGGGGTGGCAATGAAGCTATCAGCCTGTGGCACTGCTGAGGTGTTATGGAGGACCAATCGTCACCTTCAGCTCTTCTGCACTGTCCAGTCTCATGTCTCTCATCTTTCTCTTGGCAATGTTCAGGTTCAGGTCAAGCGAGTTTGCTGGCCAATCAAGTACAGTAATCCCATGGTCATTGAACCAGATTTTGGTGGTTTTGGCAGTATGGGCAGGTGGCAAGTCCTGCTTGAAAATGAAGTCAGCATCCCCATAAAGCTCGTCTATGGAAGGAAGCATGAAGTGCTCCAAAATCTCCCGATAGATCGCTGCGTTGACCCTGAACTTAATGAAGCACAGTTTTCTTTAGCCCAGGTAAGACACTTCTAACGTTGTTTGTTGTTCAGGAGCAGTTTGACAAGAGAAATACGACATTTGAAACCCATGTCCAGGATCTGTCTGTGTGTGGTGGCTCTTGATGCACTGACTCCAG